AGTAATAGGCCTTGGGTTACTGCTGGTAATCCTATTTTCCTCTTGTGGGATTAGAGGAGGTCAGAAGATTTGGCCTCCTTGTCATTTTTGCAGCTTGGCAGAATGACAAAACTACCCAATCCCAACATCAGAGTTCAACACACTTTATTTCCGTGGTCCCACCCAGTAATATGGTGGGAGTTATAAAGACTATGGCCAGAAAAGCCACACCAAGTAATTCACTGCACCGCACCACACACTGGATTATGGTTATATTTCAGGTTATTATTCCATTCTCTCTACTTTCATATGTTTAAAAATTGGCAATAACAAAAAGTTTTAAAAATCAAGTCTATTATTGATTGATATTATTTATAAAATCATACTAATACTGCTTTCCTTAGCAAAATTCTGAATGATGTATCTATATCTGTTTATTCTCTTATAAATTTCCTAGTTATAAAATAACATAATCCAAATACAAGAGAGTGTATTAATTTTCTATTCTTTGTGAGTAATAATGTTAATACTTTTGTGTAGGAAATACATCTCCAACCCTCTGCACTCAGCACATCTAACTATTCAATAACCTTACTACTAATTAAAATTCTGGCTCTATGTGTAAATAGCAATTGCTGGGAGATAACTTGGTCTATGAACAATAGCAAGGACTCTCGATCAGCCTCTCTGGGTTCAAATCTTAGCTCCACCACATACTAGCTATGAAATTGTGGGTAATTATTTTACTTCTCTATGCCTCGAGGTTGGGCAATCCTACTTCCGTAGTGATACTGCCTCGGAAACCCAAGAAGGGGTCGCTATGAGTCGGGGCTGACTCGATGGCACATAACAACAACAACAACAATGCCTCAGTAGGAGTTCTAGTGGTATAGTGCCTAAGGCATTTGACTGCTAACCAGAAGGCTGCCAGTTCAAACCCACCAGCCACTCCTCAGAAGGAAGGTTGGGCAACCTACTTCCATAGAAATACCACCTCAAAAACTAAAGGAAGGTTGCTATGAGTCAGTTATTTGACCTACAAATAGGGATATTAATCATATGTACCACTACTGTGTTCTAAGGATTACGTGTGTTAGTACATATTAACAGCTCAATAAAAATGAGTTATTATTATTAATTCTCTCTTCTTCCAAGAGTCTGCATCCCTTTTCACTTTATTTTGTTTTGATAACAGGCTATTTTTCTTATACTGGATTTTAATGTCATATTACAATGAAAATTCAAATTTTGTTCCAATAATCCTACATTGGTAATAAATACATCAATGGCATAATGAAAAAATTAAAAATAACAATGATGCCCTACATTTTAAGTAAAAATAGTATTATTAAAAGTTATACCAGCTTACAGATACTGTCAAAATGAGTAGAAAAAAGACATCAGAAAAACAAAGAAAAAAAATGAGTGTAGAGCTACGCCCTCCATCCAAAAACATTATTTGGATTTATGCCAAGAACCTACAAAATTTCTGAGAAGGAAAAGTTAATTTAAATTAAAAAAATCTTTTTTGCTTCTATTAAAAGCAAAATCTTAGAGAACTTTATCTGTCAAAGAGTTAAGAAATTAATTAAGGTTTATGACCTAGTGTAAAAATTAATGGAACAACTTCACATCTTTTTAAACTGTCTAGTTTTCATCCTTGAATGCTTTAATCTGACAACAAATAAAACACCAGGTTTCTATGTTCCATATTTTTCCTTGCAAAATTATCTGGTTTACCTATGTCTTTTTCCATTGCTCTGGCCAGCTCCTCAACAGTCATTCCAATCCATACTTCTACTTCCTTTTTAGATTTTGTCAAAGATAAGTGAGATCTCTGTGGTCTTCTTTCCTATTAAAAAATTTGTCAGAACATACAAAGAAAAAGGAAGAAAATAAATGAAGTGACAACTTTAAACTTATTCTGGAACATCTACTACAACCATAGCTCCTATTTCTATCAAAAACACTCCCTTAAGTAATTATGTCTTAGACTCAAACAAAAACCCTCATCCTTAATGATATCCAAGGAATCAAATTCACCAGCATTGCCACACAACGAACCAGAACTTCACTTTCTAACAAAGAGCTACTGCCTAGAGTATAGCATTAAGGAATAAAAATTCTATAAAGATTCCTAAAATAACAACACATACAAAATGGATTTCTACTCATGGCTCTATACACTTTCACCTCAAACCAAAAAACACAGTAACTATTAGATATCTGTTGTACTACGGTGGCTTTCATATTGCTGTGATGCTGTAAGCTATGCCACTGGTATTTCAAAACCAGCAGATTCACCTATGGTGGACAGGTTTTAGCAGAGCTTCCAGATTAACACAGACTAGGAAGAACAATGTGGTGATCTACTTCTAAAAAAACTGGCCAGTAACATAACATACTACAAAAAAACACTGTTGCACATCCTACTTTGGCAAGTAGTGACTGGGGTCTTAAAATCTTGCAAGCAGCCATCAAGATGCAATAATGGGTAACTCCTCTTCCAGAGGAAAGAAGAATGAAGAAAACCAAAGACGTATGGAAACAATTAGTCCAAGCGACTGGTAAACCATGCAATCCTCAGCCTACACGACTATGAGACCAGAAGAACTAGATGATGCCCGGCTACCACTGTCTACCACTCACTCGAAGGGTGATTGATGTAGGAGATCCTGGATAGAGTGGGGGAACAATGTGGAACAAAACTCAAAATCATTAAAAAAAAAAAGAGGGACCAGGTTTGCTGGTCTGATAGAACCTTATGGAACCACTGAAACTATGGCCCCTAGCTCCCCTTCAGATCTGGAATTGAACCCACTCCTGTGGCTTTCAGCCAAACAAAAGACAGGCATATGAGGTGAACATTTACACTAGGTATATACACTCCTTGGAGAGAACAATCATTGGAGAATAGAAGAGCTGTGTATGCACAGGGAGACAGCTCAGGGGGCAGGAGTCTGGAGGGAAGGACACAGGGAAGAGGTAACTATGGGGAGGAAGAAGGAGAGGAGCTGTTGCATTGTGGGAAATTACAGTCAATGCCATGAAACAAAGTGTACGTGAGTTGCTATATGGAAAGTGAATGTGCTCTGTAAACTTTCACCCAAATCACAATTAAAAAAAAAAGTAAAATAAAATAAAATAACTGGCCAGTGAAAACTTTATGAATAGCAACAGGAAACTGATATAATACTAGACAATGAGCCCATCAGGTCGGAAGGCACTCAAAATATGATCGGGGAAGTGGTGCCTCCTCAAAGTAGAGTCAACTTTAATGACATAAATGGAATAAAGCTCTCAGGACCTTCATGATTGCTGATGTGGCACAACTTAAAATGAGAAGAAATAGCTGCAAACATCCATTAATAATTAGAATGTGGAATGTATGAAGTATGCATATACAAAAATTTGAAGTTGTCAAAAATGAAATGGAACACTTAAAGATCGATATCCTAGGCATTAGTGAGTAGAAATGGATCGGTATTGTCCATTTTGAATCAGACAATCATATGTTCCACTACGCTGGGAACGATAAATTGAAGAGGAATGGCATTCATTATCAAAAAGAACATTTCAAGAACATTTCAACATTTCATTTCAAGTACAATGATAGGCTAATATCCATACACCTACAAGAAATACCAGTTAATAATACTATTATTCAAATTTATGTACCAACCGCTAAAGCCAAAGATAAAGAAATTTAAGATTTGTACCAACTTCTGCAGTCTGAAATTAACCAAACGTGCAATCAAGTGGTATTGAAAACTGAATGAATGAGAAAGTTGGAAATGAAGAAGGATCAGTAGTTTGAAAATATGACCTAGGTGACAGATAGGATGCCAGAGATCACATGATAGAATTTTGCAAGGCCAATGACCTATTCAATGGAAATATCTTTTTCAACATCCACATGTAACCATACATGTGGATCTCACCAGATGGAATACACAGGAATCACAATGATTACATCTGTCAGGACAGATGATGGAAAAGCTCAGTAACATTAGTCAGAACAGAGCCAGGAGCCAACTACAAAATAAACCACAAATTGCTCATATGAAAGTTCAAGTTAAAACTGAACAAAATTAAAATAAGTCCACAAGAACTGAAGTATGACCTTCAGTATATCCCACCTGAATTTAGAGACCATCTCAAGAAGTGATTTGATGCACTGAACACTAATGACTAAAGACAGACAAGTTGTGGGATGACATCAAGGATATAATACATGAAGAAAGCAAAAGGTCATTAAAAAGATATGAAAGAAAGAAAAGACCAAAACAGATGTTAGAAGAGACTCTGAAACTTGCTCTTGAACAGAGAGTAGTAGTTCAAGTGAATGGAAGACATGATGTTAAATAGCAGAACAGATTTTGAAGGGAGTCTTAAAAAAAAACAAAGCAAATTATTATAATGAAATCAGCAAAGACCTGAAGTTGGAAAACCAAAAGGGAAGAACATGGTTCGCATTTCTCAAGCTGAAAAAAATGAAGAAAAAATTCAAGCCTCAACTAGCAACATTGAAGGAGTCTATGGGAAAGATACTGAATGACATAGGAAGCATCAGAAGAAGATGGAAGGAATACGCAGAGCCACTGTAACAAAAAGAAATGGTTGAATTCAGCTATCTCAGGAGGTAGCATATGATCAAGAATTGATGATATTGAAGATAGAAATGCAAGCTGCACTGAAGGCACTTGCGAAAAACGAGACTCCAGGAATTGATTGAATATCCATTGAGATGTTCAACAAATGCATGCAGCACTAAAAGTGCCCACCTGTCTACGCCAAGAAATTTTGGAAGACAGCTACCTGGTCAACCGACTGGAAGAGATCCACATCTGTGCCTATTGCAAAGAAAAGTGATCCAACAGAATATAGAAATTATTGAATATCATATGCAAGTAAACTATTGCTGAAGATAATTTAAAAATGGTTGCAGTAGAACATCGACAGGGAACTCCCAGAAATTCAAGTCAGATTCAGAAGAGTATGTGGAATGAGGATATCATTAATGATGTCACATGGATCTTGGCTTAAAGCAGAGAATACCAGAAAGATGCTTACCTGTGTTTTATTGACTATATGTAAAGGTATTCAACTGTGTGGATCATAATAAATTATGGATAACATTGAAAGGAATGGGAATTCCAGAGCACTTAATTGTGCTCAGGCAGAACCTGTACACAGACCAAAAGGTAGTCATTCAAGCAGAACAAAGAGACATTATGTGGTTTAAAATCAGAAAAAGTGTCAGGGTTATATCCTTTCATCATCCTTATTCAACATGTATGCACAGCAAATAATCCAGGAAACTGGATTATGTGAAGAAGAATATGGCATCAGTCTTAGAGGAAAACTTATTAACAACCTGGTATGTGCAGACACAACCTTGCTTGATGAAAGTGAACAGGACTTGAAGCACTTACTGATGAAGATCAAACACTACAGCCTTTAGTGTGGATTACACCTCAATGTAAGAAAAAAAGAATCCTCACAACTGGACCAATAGGAAACATTATTATAAATGGAGAACAGATTGAAATTGTCAAGGATTTCATTTCACTTGGATCCATAATCAACACCCATGTAAGCAGCAGTTAAGGAATGAAATGACCATTGGGCAAATCTGCTACAAAAGATCTCTTTAAAATGTAAAAAGCAAAAGATGTCACTTTGAGGACTGAGGTGTGCCTGACCCAAGCCAAACTATTTTTAATTACTTCATATGCATGTGAAAGCTGAACAATGAATAAGGTAAACCAAAGAAGAATTGATGACTTTGAACTATGGGGTTGATGAAGAACACTGAATATACAATGGATTTCCAGGAGAACGAACAAATCTGATTTGAAAGAAGTACCTACTACACCAGAAGTGAGGATGGCGAGACTTCACCTCACCTGGAGAAGAATATCACACTTGGTAAAGTAGTGGGCCAGTGAAAAAGCAGGAGATACTCAATGAGATAGACTGACACAGTAATTGCAACCATGAGCTCAAACACAGTAATGATGTAAAGATGGCACATGAACATTAGTTTGTTCTGTTGTATCAAGGGTCACTACGAGTTGGAACTGACTTGACGGTGCTAACAACAACATTAGAAATCTGTACATACCTTCTGTGTTACTAGAAGCCTATACTGAGATAAAGCAGCCCCAATGAGTACATCTGTTTTCCAGGGCCAGGCATACAGTGGAGCTGCCCACGCTGGGCAACCAGATGAAAACACATGTCTCCACTGCACTAACGTTCTTCTTTGGCCCAGGCCATACAGCTGCCTACAAACAGTGTGAAATCGCAGCAGGTTCTCCAACTTTAGCATCTTCTGGTTCATGTTTCTCCTATTAAAAAATACTTTTAAATTGATATTTTGATTAATAATTAAATCAATTACAAATATTAATTGGTTGTCTACTACATGTATAACAATGAGTAAAAATGGCTCCCTGCCCTGAAAGAGCTCACACTATAGTCAGTAATAGGATCCCATGCTAAGTATTCTCAAGATATTAGGTATTATTATCATTAATGTTACTACTACGATACAACTGAAGTACAATGCTAAGATTTACAAAGGGTTCTTTTTCATATTTTAAACATCAACCAATGAAGCACAACTGGAGTGATTTTTCTAAAATGCCAATTTTAACTCATCACCTCTCTGCTTAATATCCCCAGCACATTATCCCCAGGATAATATACAACTCCACAGAATGGCATATAAGCATTCATTACATGCCCTCTACTAACCTCCCATTTCATCTCTTACTATACTTATTTTCCCATATTCTTTACCCCAGCTTTTGCTATTTTGACCCAACTAACTGTAATTTCTCCTCTAATTTCTGAACTTTTGCATATGCTCCCTCTATCTGGAATGTCTTTCAACCCTGAACACTTTCCCTCTCCCCAACCTGCTTCTTTCCAAAAGACACTTTACAGTAGGTAACAGTCACCAAATAACTGTATTGAATAGTGCCTTTTGAATATTGCTCTTGAAATAAAACTCTATTGAAAGAAAACTATAACAGAAATCAACAATAACATAGCTTTTTCCTCCCTGAGTCCTATATGTCCTCAGTTGTCAGGACTGCATTCCTTTGGCTTTGCTGTCCAGTTTTTAATGGAAGGAGCAACTAAAATAGTGTGAGAAGCATATGTTTAATCCTAAGTACCATATGCCAGGCAATATGCTTGACATTTTGATTTAAAATTTAATAAGCCAGGGTCCTTTCTTCCAAAGAAACAGCATAAGGAACATTAAAAGATAAATAGAAGATAACTGAATAGCCACATTATAGTGAGAAAGTACCTGACTAGGCCACACAGGACCCTGGCTGGTGTCCCCACTCTGTGTTATCTTCATTGAACACATCACTGGTTTCCTGTGGGCTTCATTTTTCTAATATCTGCAAAAAAGAAACCAAAAGTATTTCAAAGTTTGTCCTTTCTACTACAAGATTATAAGAAAAAAATAAGAAAATATTATTACCAGCTATTTAAAACCTGCATTATATAGCATCTAAAAGAACGAAGTATCTAGGAATAAATTTAACCAGGAAGGTGAAAGTCTTGTACATGGAATTGAAAACTATAAAACATTGCTGAAACAAATTAAAGAAGACCTAAATAAATGGAAGGACATTCCATGCTCATTGTTTAGAAGGCGTAGTATTGACAAGATGTCAAAAACAAGCCAGACGCCGCCCTTAATGAGTGATGTAGCAGACTTCCAGTAAGATGGCAGAATAGGCAGACAAGCTACATGTACTCTCCTCAACAAAGAAAAGAGAAACCAATTGACAGAGATACAGAAAATAATCCCGGAGCCCTGAGCTTTGAAAGGAAGTATACAGAAGGGGATTAGGCACTAACTAGTGGAAGAACTTGGATGAAAACAGTTGAGTAGAGAGACAGATAGAGCTTTGAACTGTCAGCTACTCTGACAGCACCAACAGCCTAAATATTTCCAAGTGGTGCTGGGACCTGAGACATGACCTAAAGATCAGCCCTGCTCGTCAAGGGCTGAAGGGACAACAGCGCTGGTAACTGATGACTAGGAAGGGAAACAGCAAAGAGGGAGACAACCTGAGCTGTGGACTTTCGGTTGTCCAGAGGATATAACCATTTTGATTGTTTACAAGCAGCAGCCATTTTGGATATTTAAAGTGACCTAGGGTGCAGCCATTTTGAATGTCTGCAAGAGGCAGCCATTTTGGATATTTAAAGTGACAGCATTCTCATTCAGATTTCAGGGACCCAAGAATAGACTCTACTAGCCAAGGATGGGGAGCTCTGGTAGCATAGTGGCTAAGACACTTGCCTGCTAACCAGACGGCTGGCGGTTCAAACCCACCAGCCACACCTCGGAAGGAAGGTTGGGCAATCCTACTTCCGTAGTGATACTGCCTCGGAAACCCAAGGAGGGGT